ACCCGCACCAACACTCGTCGGGCTCGTCACCCCGCCTGCACCACCCAGAGTTTCCTGAGCCTTCTTCGCCCTCTCGTGCTCCTCGACCATGCTGCGGCGCACCCTCGACTGCTCAGACGGGAACAGGAAGCCGTGCGAGTACCTAAAAATAAACCAATCAGTTTAGTGAGTGTCAGAAAACGCCTATCAGACGCCTGAAGGAAGGGAAAGGATACGTACACTGTCCCTGAGCGTGGATGGTCGTATATCCAGCAGCGTTCGCTCGTCCAGCGCACCTCCGACGCACGGGGGTGTGAGCGCATCCACTTGGCCGTCTGCTTGTCCTCCGCCCCGCGCGTGAGGGTCTTCACGAGCGGGTCCTTCGCGACCCAGTCGACGAGGCTCCATGACAGCGCGTACAGCTCGCCTGCCATGAAGATGTGTAGCCGGTTGGTGACGAGATAACCCCAGTAAATCAAGGGGTCGCGTAGCGCGGGGTCGGCCAGGGTGGCCGCTGCCGCTGACGTGAGAGGTGAGCGTGCTACTGGTGCAGCTGCGCCGCTCGAAGGCGAGAAGGCTTCGCCATCACGATACGTGACCGCGTTCCCGTTCTTCTGCGGGTTGGAGTGGAGTTCCACACGCAGCCTCGCCTCGAGCTCGGCGAGGATCACGAAGGAGTCGTCGTCTACTTTAATGACAAAGTCTGGTCTGACCCATGGCCGTGAGCGTCCGGAAGTGATATCCGACCAGGCGAGGAAGGGATCGTGTGGCGCGAGCGAGGGCGGTGTTGATGTGGAGTTTGAGTAGGAGAAGGTGGGCATGGGCACGACGGAGGAGCGGTAGACGGGTGGAACCCACGCATTGATGGCAGCCCAGGAGAAGAAGGTATAGGTCTTGCCGCCGTTCATGTTTTCAGGTATAGGGAGGATAACAATGTCGTTGTACACTGTACTTTGTGATCAGACGCGTCTGAACAGGAGCTGGCATGAAGTACTGACTTTCCATCTCAAGCTTAACTCTGCGTTCCCAGTCTTTGCGTGGCCGGCCCATCACGAAGCGTACGATGGTGCGAGAGGTACCAACGCCGTCATCACCTGCACCAGCGCCGTCTCTGCTACGAGGGTGGCTCGCCCATGTCGTGCGTATGAGCATGCGGCGTTCGAAGCCCGAATCGATGGAGAAGACGCCCACAAGGACGCCTGCAGGTGGTAGGTCGTCGAAGTGTGAAGGGGGAAACTCGGGGAGTATGTGTCCATCTGTGAAATTAGGGTAGAAGTGGGGTGTGTTGGGTGGAGCAGGACGGTCGAAAGGAGGGGCTAGTGATGGAATGGAGCAGTAGGCGCGCCATGGAAGAGGGTCTTTGTCTGGATTGAGGACGTAGATGAGCAGGAGTGTTAGGGATATAGCAAAGACTGAGAGTAAGATAAGCGAGAGGACCTAGTAACAGACCCGTCAGTGGGGCGATAGGGAGAGGGGAAGAGGGTACTCGCAATTGTGATAGGTTGGCTGGGGAAGAATGGGTGGCGGACGAGGCGCCTTAGGCAGCGTTTGAGGACCCTAACGTACCTGCCGCCGCGCCTCCTTCTGCGGTGGGGGGAGTCGCCTGACCACCAGCGGCGTCTGTCGTTGCGCAACCATCGGTTCCTGACGTGGTTGCTGCGCAGGAAGGGCGACGAGGGTTCGCTGTCCGAGTCTGAGGGGCATGAGGATGAGTGGTTGGGGGGGTAGAACTGGGGGAGGGGCGAGGTTGAGCGGGAGGGGAGGGGGGTGTTGCTGGCGGTGGAGGAGGCAGAGGGGGGGAAGAGGAAGAGGGACGGGGGCTGCTGGCTGACGAGGAGGGAGTGTGAGTTGCGGGGCGTGTCATCTTCGTCTGAGCTGTCTGCGCTGTCGTATGCGCGGGGGTCGCTCATCGCTGGGTGTTGGTCGTGCTGAGCATCTGCCATCTTTTGACGCTCCTGGTTCCACCTGCTCGATCGGGAACGCGGATCACCGCCCACAACCGGTGAATACTCGCCCAATCCTATAACCGGGTTTCGCGGTCGCAACACCTCTCTTACTTATTTCTTAAACCGCACGTGCTGCGCCGTTGACCACGACCTTTCTCCAATCCCACCTGGATTTATTCCCACCTAGAGATCTACGGCATCAACATAGCCCCCTAGAACAACCCATCACCATAGATCTTTCTCCAACTGGCTCGCTCTCGAATCACATCCCAGAACGCACCCACCTTCGCTGCCTTCTGCTCCTTCGAGTTCTCACGTATCGCCTGCTCGGACAGAAAATCGCGGGGCAGCTTAAATCCTCCACCGATGTACTCCTCTACCTTTCTCACAACCGTTGCACCGTCGTCGCTCGCCGTGCCTCCAGCCAGCTTCACCACCCGGGTTAGCCACCCCGCGAGGTGCAAGTCGGCGATCGAGAATTGCTCGCCTGATGCAACGTGAAAAGGTGAAGCGTCAACCGGGAAATGAATGGTGCGCACCGAGTGTGTACGGCCCAATCATCTCCTTGCTCAGTTGCTTCAATGTGTCCGCAAGATTTACCTCCCAGGCCTGGCGCGCAGTCTTAAAGAACGCGACCCGACTCGCCCTTGCCTGCTCATCAAGCGCCGATTCGTCCTTCTGGGCGTCAACCAGAACTGCACAGATCAGACCCGTCGCCTCGAGCTTTTCGCCCCACAGTTTCTTCACCTTCTCCGACACCTGCACGCTCCCGCTCTCCCCTTGCGCGATGTACGCCCTTAGTGCCTGCTGCCTGTGCTCCAAAGTCTGCAACGTCTCCTCGGCGAGCATCCTCAAACTGTCAACATCTCTTGCATTGACATAGCGCAGCGTGTTCGGGTTTGCGGCGTTGGAATGCAAGATGTCCTCCACAATCACTTTGCATATCGTCGCTGCGGCGATGGTCGCAGGCGTCAGCGACGGCGCCGGCGCGACCGACGTCGTATGTGTCCGCGATTTCGCCGAGCGGGACTTGTCCAGGAATTCAACGATCGTCTGCGGAGAGAGAAAATGATGGAGATGGGTGGTGAGGATGATGAAATCGCGTTTGGCATGACGTTACGGCTCCAGCCTGAGCTCATCCACGCACCTTCGTCTCGGTAAGCGCCTTGTACCGGCTCTCGACGCCGTCGGTGAGCGAGTTCTCGTATGGCACTATTAGGGTGGGCACGGTTGCTGTAAATCGGAGTATTAGGATAGGATAGGATATAGATCGCGATAACGAGCGGGTGTTTCTACCTTTGGGATTCAGTCGAAGAAACGCCGGGTCGTAGTTCTCCCCTTTGGCTACAAATCTTTGGTCAGAGCAAAGTAACATCGATAACGAGAGGCGCAGCGTACTGATGTCCACAATCCGAAAGTCAAGTTCATCAGAGCCATAGCCCTTTTCTTCGCTGCGAGATGAAGCTTCAGATCCATCATCCAGACCAACCACAGAGATCATACACGGCCAAACGAGCTAAGGAAGTTGCGAGTTAGCAATCGAGATAATCGTCCAAGGAACACCGTAGCGCACCCACTGCGGACCAGATGGACGTCGGGGCGTAGTAAAGCGCAGCTTTCGGTATACCAGCCATTCCAGCAGAAGGTTCGAACGAGGTAGGAGATAGAAAAGCACTTTCTCATCAGATGACGTCGTGCCCCCTATTTGCGCTTCTTTGGCCAGGAAAAGCTTGTTTCCTACGCGCTCCAACGCGAAGGGGCCCATCTAGGGTGAGTTCAGTAGCTCATTGCACTGCAAACGCGTGTAGTGTACTGAAATACATTCGTTACGAGAAGGATGCCAAGTACCCATCAGATTATCAGTCCGTGAGTCAACGAATGTCCAAAAAGTTGTAGTCTTCGCCCACGTGACACTACTATCGAATGTACTGGAATAATTGACCCCTTTTTATACACAACACCCGTCGTGCAGGCGCTCAACAGCACGGACGCTCTTCTCTGTTCATCGTAATGGCCACTATCAGGTAGCTCTCTTCCGATTGAGATGTCGTGAAAACGCGATTCTGAACGCCCTGAATGACAGACACGAATTTTACGAAACCGACGAGAAGCTCACGCTCTCCATCTTCGACAAGGGCGCCGATCCCGCCCAGGTCTCTGT